AACAGGCGAGGAGAAGCTTCTTGGGCCCTCATCCCCTTGGGTAGCCAGGATCATACCCACCTGCAAGCCAAGTGTGGGAGAGTTTGGGGGACCACACTCAGCCTGGGGTCCAAACTCAGTCACAGGCAAAGGGTGCGGTACGGTGCGGGTGGCACCGAAGGGGGGGAAAAAAAGATGGGGCTCATTTTAGTTTGAAGCTCTTACCTTCCGTGATTAAAACTTAGAAGAGGCACTTTGACCAATCTGGCGGACATGTATTTTATTTATTTAATTTATATAGCACCCTGTTAATGCAGAAGCACTATTCCGGGTGGTTCAACAGCAAGTTTAAACATATATTAAACAAACAATAAACAGTAACATATAAAAACTAACAGCATAAAAACCAAATGGGGTCAGAAATAGTCTCCCAATAATAGCAGGACAGGAGGCTAACAGCCAGTCAACCGAGTTCGGTATAGGTGGGAATTTACAAAAATTAGGAAACCATCAAAATGTGGCTTCCCGGGGAGTAAGGAATGGCCATCTGGCAACACTAGAGGCCTGGATTGGGGTCCCAGAAGAGTGACAGACTCCGGTCCCTGTACTTGATTTCACAAAAGAGTCTCTCCCAAGCAAGAAGGATGATGATGGCAAAGGGGGAAGCGTTTGAGGGCACTTATATATACAAGAACAGGCAGCCGAATCTGGTACAGCAGCAAAATCTGCAAATCATCTAAGGCCATTTGTTGAAAATGACAAATCTCATGCAAGAACTTTCGTTATTCTCATTCTGGAAGGAACTGTAGATTCTGCCTTCTAATGTCCCAAGAGATCAAGAGATATCCAACTGGAGGTGAAATGTCGGCTATCACCACCACATCTTCTTTTCCAACAAGCAGCCTCGTGCAAATATCTCCTGACAGCCCTGCCTAGAATTTGGTATCACCTGGTCCCAAAGCAAAGGCAGATAATACCTCTATAAAATCTCTACAATGCCCAAAAACTGGCAAGTTTGAAAGACCTGCAGGACTCTCCTTCCATCTGGGCACGGCAGAGTTTGGTGGTGTGGAACAGTGCTTGTACAAAAATCGCCCTGTGTTCTTCCCATTTTCACAAGCATTAAGAACTCTAGGGGAAACACGGTCTTAATTAATTAATATTATTTATATGCCATTTTTTCTTTCCATAGGTGACCCAAGGCGGCCAAAATACCATTAAGTCTGCTTAATGTTCAAGCAGATGTATGCTGGAATTCATGTGGCACACAGAAGTGCTTCAAGACGTTCAAGGTACATGGCCTTAGAAGGAGCCACGCTGATGGCAAGAGGGAGGGAATGGAAGGGTAAGAACAGTCTCAGTGACCCTACTTGTAATTAGCCTGTGGCTTCTAGTTTGGAAACCATGACTGAGTTGCGGGTGACCAATAAGAGGTCTACACATGTAGACCCGCTATTGGTCATTAAGACATGACAAATTACTTCCATGGCTGGAAGATTCTGCAAGTTGGACATTTTAAAAACTAACTTTTCCTGAAATGTAGCCCAGAACCAGCAAGAACCAAGAAGGGAATTTTACTTGAACTAAACCGGAAATTGGCCCTAATGTATTACAAGCAATTAAGTAGGACATGGTCTAACATAACTAGGTAATATAATTAGTGCTGAACTTAATTTGAGTTCTTTACACTAATATATCCCCACACCCTGCAAGTCTGAGAGGAAGCAGAGAAAGAAAGCTGTTGACGAGTGACAAGATCATCAATGAACTGCATAATATAAACATGGGGTTCTCCTCCCGTTCCAAGTTCTGCCATGCCTAAATCTAAACACCAATTTAAATATCCTTTTTTTCAGTGTAAAGGTAATGAAATTAGGGTGTGTGGGGTTTTAAAAAAAATGATTAATGATTTAATTTAGTGTGATTGTTTTCAATGACTTTTCGCTAACTGATCTGGACCAAAGAAAGCCAACCTTTTTTGGCCACATTTCTCTTGAAATACGTATTTGCTCTTTCTCTTGTTTCGTTTTGCTTGTGAAAGAGCTCGAGGTTTTCCTCACAAGGGCAGATGGTTCACAGGTGAACAGCATTGACCATGGCATTAGTTTCATTTGAAGTTTAAGTAGAAATAAATGAATGAACGGCCTTGTTGACGTCAACAAAGAGCTCCCAGCAAAACTGAAGAGGAAACTATTCCATCCGGTTTTGTTTCGAGTACATTCACAAGCTGCTCCCTGAGACTTTTGACTCTTGGGAGTTCATAGTTTTTTTTTCCCCCAGAGGAATTCTCATTAAGGAGAAGAATGTTTAGGCCTTGAAATAGCACCCAAGCCGAATGAGGCAGGAGCCGGGCAAGAAGTTAGAAATTTGTGAAAAGATTTTGGGCCGTCATCTTGCTTTTGTCAATGTCATGGGAGATGCTCTTTTCTCCTTATCTGACACCCAAACGAATACCAAACGTGCAAGGAAAGAAGGAGATGACAAGGGAGAGAATTCAAAATATGTCCAGTGAGAGCTTCCCCCCCCTTTCTTCCACTGACCCACAGATCTTGGATTAATGGCCAAAGGAAACAGCACTGTCTAGCCTAGCAGTAGTTTAGAAGCATGCATGCTTACTGCACTTGACCTGTTGATTTACTAGTGTAAAGATGCTTATGGATCTCTCCTGCCTGCCTGCTTCTCCTTGCCTTTCCTTTAGTTCTCTTATTCATTGCTCTGTGAGTTGGAGTGCGTAGCTGTGGAGCCAGGGGCCAGGAGTTTGACTTCCCACTGGTTCTCAGTTCATAGACCTTATGATAGGCTGGAAGTCAGTTGGCAACACAAAACAACAACAAGGAGCTCTTTCAGAAGGAAAAGGGGATGGCAACACAAAACAAGGAGCTCTTTCAGAAGGAAAAGGGGAATGAAGCATGTACAAAGAGGTGAAGAGCAGAGGGAAGGAAGAGTGAAAGGAGAGCAAGGGAAACATTGAGAGGTGACATCTGTGACAGTGCTCCATCATCCAGGTGAGGTTACCTGAAAGATGGAGCCACTGGACTCCTTTCAGTCCAATGGAGACTGAAGAAGCGGCTTGGAGGAGCAGTGAAATGTTTCAGTTTAACAAGAAAGAAGTTGCTGTGACTTAATTTCCAGATTGAAGTACTGTATGACGAATGAGAAACTCCTCTGTTGAGTTATTCCTCTGACTGCACACCGCTCTGTCAATGTCACACACTTCTATCTCTGGCCATGACTCAGCTTCCAGACGGAGAGATGACAAATGAGAAGCTCCTATGCTGAGCTATTCCTCTGAGTGCACGCCACTCTGTCAATGTCACACACTTCTATCTCTGCTCTACCGCACCAGTTACCTCATGCCTCAGACATTCTCTAATGAGCATCAATGTGGGGAATTTCCTTGACTTCATGCTAATATCTTGGGATTCTTCATAGTTCAAGGGCCACGGCCACTTGTCTTCCAGAACTGCACAGCAGTCCAGCATGGCGTCTCCCAAAGGCATCCTGAAAGATCTATCTGAAAAATCTTCAGCAACCTTGAGCCCTTCCACCATGGCTATGTTTTCCCCCTACATTATTCCCCACGTTTCTGATACTAGACTTTAATGCTCTGATCCAAAATGGAGTTGACCATCATCCTGAGGTCTCTGAATCTTCCTTTGTGCTCAATCACGTGAGCTCACTGAATTCAGAAGTAATAAGTTATAACTTATAACCTTGTTACTTGTACCCAGCTAGTATTTCAGGATAACGTGGATGCAAACATTTATGGCCAGAGTCTTATTACAAATGCTCCCTGGCGGTAAGTCAGCCCTTTATAGGAGAGCTATCCAAGGTGCTTAACTTTATCCTCAAAAGAGATTCAGCACCATGGATAATGCCAGTAAAGTTTGGACAAAAACATGGAATGAGTTCACCAACACACTGGCAGCTCAGCCACTAGCCATCACGCACCCAAACCAAGATTCTTGCACTCAAATTGTTTGATCATCATCACTTCCTCCCCTGCAGTTTGCTGCATGAAAGAAATAGTCCCAATCATCAATTCCAACATAGTTAGTAACCCAAACCAAAATTAACCTGGAATTGCACAAGATTCCAACATAGTAACCCAAACCAAAATTAACCTGGAATTGCACGGCACTGCATACCGAAATGTGCTCTCTGAACAAATTTCCCTGCTGCTAGTCAATAGGAAGAACAGATCTATTGCAAAAGTGGATCATCTATTTAAGAATGCAATTAGATGGAGAACGTGCTCCCCTTTTGGACCACTTCTCCATGGCCCAATTGGACCTTTAGGTCCAGTGGCAGGGCTATTATTTTTTGGACCTGGGCTTGGTCAGTTCCTGTCAGGGTGGAAGGGATATTTTAAGGGAGAGTGCTCTCACCAAAGTGACTCTTTGCAACAGGATCAGAGACAATCTTTTTCTCACTGTCTGCATGCACCCTAAGACAATGACAAAAAAGGATGCAATTCTATGAAGAATTTCTGTAGGGACAAATGCAGTAAATAGAGAAATGCAATCCTGTAATATTTGTCTGAAAGTAGCAAACAGAAAAAGGGAAGGCCCTTTCTTCATTAACCTTGTGCTCCAGAATCCCAGTGGAATTCTGGACCATACTTCTTAGCTTTAATCTGATACATCGAGTCCTCTTATCAGGAGAGAAGTGCCTTGCAAATAAGGCTAATACGCATGTGTGCGTGCGTGCGTGCGTGCACGTACGTACATACATACATACATACGTTTGTATATCAGTCCACTCCACTGGATTGTTTATGTCCAGATTTTAGACTTTTTTATTGTCTGAATTTTTAACTGTCATTTACTGTGTCTTGCAATCATCTTTGAAATGAAGGCATAGCAAAAATAAACAACCTATCTCCATAATGGACTTTAAACCAGCATCTCGACCTCTGATCTGCTTTCCTTGAGCAGCGAAATGTCCACATTCATCCAAACCAATTTTTTTAAATAGGCATCCATTGCACTTCAGCTTGGTCATAGCAAATGAGGGAGGGAGGGGGTGTTCTATACAAGCAGAATCTTGTTCAGAATGAGGTCCAATGGGCATCATGTCATAGGCCGCTTTAGCGGAAATCACCCCAAAGCAAAGGATGTGTGGTTTACAAACCGCCATTGGGGCCAAAAGACCCTTTGCAAGGGAGGTAGCAAAAAAACCAACAACCCAGGCCTCCTGCAAGGGGGTGGCGGTGGTCATGGAATAGTTCTATTTCATCGTATCCCAATGTGGAATGTTTACAAATTGCTCATTAAGAGAAAGGAGGCTTGGAAGATAGCAACAGAAATCTGCTCAACAGCTTACACTAGAGGAGATAAGAGAGTGAAAGCTACTATAGGAGACACAGCAGGCCATATCCAATTACTGAGACCTGGACGATGGGGGTGGAGTGGGGTGGGGGACGAGAGCGGGAGAGTGTCCGATCACAAGTTCCTAGCAAAGAGCTTCCAAACTTGTCAACCGCCTGTGACACAAGCCGTATATATCCATCGCGGGGGGGATAAAGCCGTCACATAGACGGCACCAGAGCAAAACTTGGTTGAGTCCTTGGGGGGCAGCTCAAAGGAAGCCATGGGGTCCGCCGTCTTCCACCTCTGGGCCTCTCTGCTGTTTCTGGCCCACCTTGCCAACAGTAGCCCTATCGTGGGTTTAGAAGATGTCCCAGTTCTGGACGAAGAGGAGCTGTTCTTTGACGAGCAGGACACACGACTTCAGGACTTCCAAAACGAATTCCTGAAGGTGCTCAACCTCTCTGAGGTCCCCTTGCAAGACGCAAGCAAGGTGGAGCCTCCAGAATACATGTTGGAGCTCTACAACAGGTTTGCCACCGACAAGTCCTCCATGCCGTTGGCCAACATAGTCAGAAGCTTCAAAAATGAAGGTGGGTTTTGGAATCTTCTCAGCAAACCTGGTAGGACTAAGGATAGTCTTCAGCAAACCCTTTTGTTTTCCTAGATTTACAGCAACTAGATTAAGGCTGCATCGGAAGAAAGGGTTGAGTAAAGAAAATGTTGGAAAGGAGAAGTTTGAGTATTGATCCATGCAGCCTGTAGGGAGTTTTCTCAGTTCTCATGGGGTAGACCACGCATCCTATAAGTTCAGGTTGCTGATTTTCTCACTGCTGAGTTCTTCAACGGCATGGTTTACCTAGCAATGAAAGAAATAGTTAGATGTTTAAATACACACCTGTCTTGGTTGCTTTGAAACCTGGCCAGGCATTTGGGGATCCCAGGGGGAGAAAGGTTCATCTTACTTAAGAAGTCTGTAGCTCAACAGTCATTTTGGGTGAATTGTCTGTGATACCAGTTAGCTTCTATTAACCACCTAGAAAGTTCCCATGTGTTTTATGTTAATTGTTTCTATTCAATCTCTACCAATATTTTGCATCGTAACTATGCTTGTCCTCTTGGTAATTGTATATAGAAGACTGCATTGATGGTACTTGGGCTACATTTCATAGATACGTCTGTGGACTATGTGATTCCCAAATCATTTTAGACAAACAAGTGGGTGGATCAGGACTGTCTATTCAAAGCAATGTGAGAGACTCATACTCCAGAATCTATGCAATGGAATGTCTTCTTTCCAGCTAGAAGATGACTGAGAATTTCTAAATGATAAATTAAAATATGTTGCAAGTTTTTGTGTTGGACACAAAATGTCAAGGGGAACCGTTACCTTTACCTTTTACAGAACATATGCAAACAACTATCAGAACTTTTCCATTACATTTCTAAAAGGTCTATGGTTTTTTTTTTTAAATAGCTTATTAAGTATGTTTCTTTTTCTTACACTTACTGGCCAAAATCTTCTGGTTTAGCACAGTAAATTGCACTGGAGTGAGCCCAATGAATAAATTGAGTTTATTGAGACAATCCCTCCATTCCATTGATTCCAATGAGTCTACTCTAACTGCAACTTACTATGCTAAAGTCAGTCACAGTTAGAGTAAGCCCATTTGAATTCATGGAACTTATGGAGGAATTGATTCACCAAACTACCATTGATTCAAATGGCTTACTCTAGGGCAACTTACACTCAGAACAGGCTTTTGGCCACTATTTTATACACGGAGATTCCAGAAATGTGTATTCTCTGAAGATTGATGGGGTTTTTTGATTTCTTTTTAAAAGACATGCAAAACACTTTGATCCTTCTGATTTTCATAGGAAGGATTCAGGCTGCACATAGTACTTCTGCTTGAGACTAAATGCAGCAGAACAAAGATGCTAGAAAGGCTGGGCTGGGCTGAATGTTGTTAATGAATAAATATGAAGACATTTCCATCTTTCTGGACAGTTCTGGGGGGAATACTAGTAAAATGCCACATTATTCCATGCACTTGAGCCCAAATAGCTCAGTTAGAGGAACACAATTCTGGATTGTGAAACTTTTGTCTTCTTTAAAGAAAACGTTTGTGTCCCTTTTCTCCAAGGAGATTGTTCTGAAAGCTGATGTTGTAATAAACAGGTCATTAAGATCCTCCAGCTCTTTTGACTGTAATGAACTAACACAACCAGCCTTCTAGAACAGTGCTTTCTAATCTCGGGTAACCCAGGTGTTCCTGGGCTAAAACTCCCAGAAGCTTGCATCACTAGCTGTGCTGGCCAGGATTTCTGGGAATTGTAGTCCAAGAACATCTGGACACGCAAGGTTGGGAAGCACTGAGTTTGAAGCTAACAAAAAGAGATGATCCTTAATGTGATCTAGCCAATGAAAACCAGCACTTCCCTCACTTCTGATGATAGAAAATTCCCCAGTTTTGGAATGAAATTACCATCTGAAATTCGCCCGGGCCCCCTCCCTGGTGGTTTTCAAAACACTTTTTTAAACATTCCTATTTTGTTGGCCTTTTCAAAACTTGTCAGCTTAAGAACTCTGAGACCATTTATGTAAACTGCCGCCTGTTTTGAATTTTGTCTTCAATGCTTGCTTTGAGCGTTATCTTCAGCAATCTGGTGTACTTATTTATGTTATTCTTTTGTCATTGTTATAGCTTGTGAACCACCCAGAGTGACCATCAGTCAGAGGGGCAGTATATAAATCAATCAGTCAATCAACTAATCAACCAACCAATCAAATAAATTAATAATCAGTTCTGCATCGGCCTTTTTAAAAAGACTGCCAGCGTTCTCAGCCACGTATAATCTTAGGTGATGAGTGAATGATAGCAAAACTGGATTCCACCAGGTTTAAATCTGCTGTGTGAAAGGGCCTCCTACCGTGTTTCCCCCAAAATAAGACAGGGTCTTATATTAATTTTTGTTCCAAAAAAAAATGCATTAGGGCTTATTTTCAGGGGATGGTCTATTCTTTTTCATGTACAACCATCTACATTGATTCAAATATAGTCATATCATCTTATTCTGGTTTCTGCTCAAGGTTGGAGGGCGGGGTTTCTCTTAACTGGGGCTTATTTTTGGGGGGTAGGGCTTATATTACGAGCATTCTGAAAAATCATACAAGCGCTTATTTTCAGGTTAGGTCTTATTTTCGGGAAACAGGGTAGATTCAGATGTTCCTTACTTGTCTCCTATGGGGTGGGAGTGTAAACACCTCTTTGTTTTTAATCTGCAGAACCAATGACACAATCCATTCACTTCAATGGAGTATGGAGGTACCCTCTTCTTTTCAATGTCTCGATCCCTCACCACGAAAAGATCACCATGGCCGAACTAAGACTTTACACCCTGGTGGAAGAGGAGAGAATGTTCTACAATAGCCTGGAGAAGGTGGTCACCATTTTTGAGGTCCTGGAGGATGAGCAGGGAGGGGAAGGAGAAAGGAGACTGAACGTCCTGGCCTCCAGGCATATCTACAGCCTGGGCAGCGCATGGAAAACCTTTGAGGTCACGGAGGCCATCCGGAAGCGCCATCACGCCACATCCACCACTCACCGGCTGGAAGTCCAGATCGAGAACAGAGGGGGTAGACGGTCCAGCAGCAGAGGCAAAGCAGACAGAGACCTTGATCCGGAAACCAAGCACGAGCCTTTATTGATTGTGTTCTCAGACGATCACAGCCATCTCAGGAAAGAGGAGAAGCAGGAACTGGCCGAGATGATCGAACACGAGCAGGATTTGCAAAACCTGGACATGGAGGACTTCCACACCAGACCCAATGAAGAGAACCTGCTCCAGATCAGGTCGAACGTCATCTACGACTCCACGTCCCGGATAAGGAGAAATGCCAAGGGAAGCACCTGCAAAAGGACTTCCCTCCACGTGGATTTCAAGGAGATCGGCTGGGATTCCTGGATCATCGCGCCCGTCAGCTACGACGCCTACCAGTGTAAGGGAGCCTGCTCCTACCCTCTGGATAGCCACCTCACCACCGCCCACGCCATGGCACGGACTCTGGTTCACTTGAACAACCCCCAGAAGGCTTCTCCGGCTTGTTGCGTCCCTACCAAACTGGATTCCATCTCTTTGCTGTACTTAGAAAAAGGAGTGGTGACCTTCAAGACAAACTATGAGGGCATGTCCGTCTCTGAATGTGGCTGCAGATAGTAGCGGGAGGAATCCGCCACAAGTGTTTGGGCCTTCCGCCTGGGTTCAATGGTTCCACAACTGTAAATGTGTACAGTTTTGATTTGTACAGATTGAGTAAGCTAATTTAATAAGGAGTGTACAGATAATACGAGATGCAGGAAATGTGCCGCTGACTGTGAGGTCTGTCTGTCTGTCTCTCTCTGTGTGTGTCTCCATTATTTCCTGCTGTGGAGGAAGGGGGTGTAAGCTGAACTAGCTAGCAGAACAGCTAGAAAATACAGGCAGCAGAATCCAAAGGTTAGAAAAACATGGCCCAAATCCCTCTGTGTCTTCACCCTTACGTAACACAGTGGGTGTAAGAGGAGAAGACTCCAGACACTTTCGAGAACAAGTCCCCAAGGGAGTGTGAGCCGCCATGTCAACCAGGCCTCTCATCTCTTGCCTCTGTGTCTCTAGAGTAAGCCTGCCCCTCAACATCAGTGGCCGGAGAGAAACCACCAGGGGAATACTGTGGTTTGCACGTGATGGGTTTGAGAGAGCCAGGTGGCCAAGGTTCCACTACATGAGATGGGTTCTTGAACTGGTGATGGACCACTCTTCCCCCCCCCCCAGTATCCCAGCCAGCCTTTTTCATGCAGTTTTGGACCCCCACAAGGCAGCTATGATCCCTCCCTGATCTCCTTCTGCTGGGACAGAAAGCTCCATTCCTCCAAAACATTTGGGGGAAGTGTCTAGAAAGGGTCTGCAGAAAAGGACAGACATGGTGGAGAATTTGCTCCATCATTTTTAGCAGCGTTTACCCTCGTCCCTGGAATGAACTTAAATCCAATGTAGTGATGCAGGGGGTGGGGTGGTCTGGTCACCAGCCAAGATGCCACAGTGGTGGCTCACAGTAGAGGCCTTGGGGAGCCCAGAACATCCCCATAGGAATGGGAAAGCATGTGCCCTTGACGGCCCCTCCTGCTTACCAGCATTGATTTAAATGTTCAAGGTTCCTTATTCTTCCTCTCTCTTTGAAGACCGTCCTATCCTGGCTGTTTGGTGCAGCCCTCCGGCATTCCAAGCCCAGCCATACCTTCTAGTGGTAAAAATGCTGGTTTTGGGGTGTTCAGCTTAAAATCTAGTGCCTTTTCCATCTTCTCTGCAAACGATTCGTTCTGCAACCAAGCCATTGGCCATTTTTGCTCAACCAAGACCTCCTGCGCCTGGCCTCTTCCTTAAGATGCTGTGGCAGCGGGAAGGAATTATCATGAAAATCAAAATGGTCCACCTCAAAGAAAAAAATGGAGAGGGACTTCCCTTTCCTGAGGCGGTCAATTCACAAGGCCATACAGTACTTTTACCCCACTCCCCACTTCAACCATATAGGGTGGAGTCACATGCCATGTTCCCACCACTCTTCCCTGACAAATTGTTGCGATAAGGAGGTGTTGGAGCTGAGAAACAATAGGGCCTGGTTCTTTATTTATACTAAGCTGGAAATTTGTCAGATTCTTTGGAAAGCGACGGTGCTGCCTCCCTTCCCCTCCATCGCTGTCTACTGTACAGTCCTCTATCTCTCTTTTACACTTTTTAAGGCAAAGTTATCTTCCCTACATGAGATAAGAGATTTGTCTCGGAGAGAACAGAGGAGGGCTTTTTATGGGGAATCAGTCCCAAAGACCATCAACTCAACCTCCATCCATGCAGCCATTATTTATTGATCTATTTATTGTCCTTGTAATATAATGTAGAATACAAAATGTTTTATTTTTGTGCTTCTATGTAGAACACGCTTGAATAATCCTGTGTATTGGATCACACTGCATAATTTTGCGCTAGTAGCTGCAGAAAATGTTATGGACTTTCTGGGTCATTTTCTCTGTAAATAATTGACTTTTTTTCTAAAAAAAATTAAGTATAATGCAAAATATAGTGAAATTCGATATATAGTTTGTGTGTGTGTGTTTGTGCAGCTTTCATGGATGTCACCTATACACAGAAATGAAATGCCTTGGCTCTTTCTCACATCAGTTAAATGCTGAGAGTTGGTAATGCTGCTTCGTTAGCCCACCTGGAAAGACCTGGCTATCAATCTGTCAGCCATGAGATCTACTCTCCAAAAACTTGGGCACAGTGGTCAGGTTTGGGCCATGCACCTGCCGGGTCTTAGAAGAGCCTGCAACCCACACACCATGACCCACCACCAAGACTTTTTGCTATTGAGTCCCTCTGCAGCAGACCTGACATCCTTCTCGCCCACCAGATGCTGCCACAATATTCTTGTTCCAACATGCCAGATGCAAGGAAAATGGGAAGGGAAGAAGAATGATCAGTTGTGATGAGAATGCTGGTGTGTGTATGCATGTGTGTGCATCAAAAGGAGCAAGGGCAGTACTAGAAAGTGGGGTCATTAGTGGTAACATGCCAACAACCCATCATGTCCAAGTATAATAGCTGGTAATGGTGACAATTGTCAGTTAGCAGCAGGGAATGAATCACAGCGGACCCTGTCTTTCCAGAAAGGAAAAGAAACTGCGTCCCTGACCCAGCCTGCAAATGAGGGCATATACTGGATCGATCCATCTAGTTTCATCAGAGGTCAAAACTAGGCAATCAATCATTAGACGCAGAGATTCCCATGAGAGATAAAACACACTTATTAATGCTTTCACAACCTTTCTTTGTTCCACATGTTACAAATTCCACATGTTGGTTTTGTTTGGTGATTGGTTATCAAAAGGTCAACATGGACTTCACTGCAAGTCTGATAGCTCAGGCAAGAAGCTTTGGAGGAAATTAGTGCCTGGGAGGAAAACGTCATAGCAGAAGTGAGTGTGCACTTCCTTAATGTGGGAGTTGACTCTGAGACAGACATGTGCATTGATGTAGAAAAATTCAATAGAGCAGAATAAAAGGCAGGGAAGACTGTGAGAGAACAGTCCATGACCCCATGTCCTCAAGCCATGTCCTCAGCCCCATGTCTCATCAGCTCCCAAAACGTTTTTCCCCACCCAGCCCTGAATGATCAAAACCAACAGCTTTAACAACAAAAGAGCCATTGATATAGCAAGACTATTAGAATTTCTACTGTGTCTTCAACTTTAAACAACCATCTCAGCTAATAAAGGTACAGTATGAGAAACCTTCCAGTTTTTGTCCTTTTTAAAAGATCTAAAAAATGACAACACATTTTTCCTTCAGCCTCTGGATTCCTGGTCTATCGTGGGCAGGCAAAGAAAGTGTGGAGTTCAGATGTGAACAGGGTTTTAGTGCACCCCTTCTGGACTCCCCAGAGGGGAATAAAATGCCAACCATCTTCCTCCCCAAGCCAAGACAAGGGAGGCTAATTTAGTAGACTGCGCTTCTACAGATTCCCACAAATTATAGCCATTTCCAGATGCACCACAATGTAAACAACAAACAGTCCACGGAACCTTAAAGACCAACTACATTATTATAGATCAGATATAAATCGCATGCCATGATAAATAAATTAAAAAGAGATGAACAAAGGAGATTTATGTTAACTTGGATATAAATGCTTGCCTTCATTTTATGACCCTGACTGTTATTCTGCATTTCTCCATTTTCAGGAGAATTGGAATAGACATAAGTAGCATCACAGCAATAGACAAGATGTGGCATGGATGGGGAGTCTTCCATGAATTCCCAGTTGAGATGAAGCCCACTCTTGCAGCAGATTTAGAATGCAGGACATTTCCAGTTAGTTTGCCAGGAACAATTGGGGCTGCGTAGCAGGGAGTCCCACAGAGATATGAGAAAAAGGCTTCAGCCAGTCTCCAGGGCTCCCTCCCACCAAAGGGAAAGTGGGCTGGGATGCCCATTTTGTAAGTATTCAGGTCATTGTGACTTCAGGTCTTGCAGTGCAAGACTGAAGTAACACCAAAACATTGCCAAGAATAGTTCCCAAGGAGAGTATTTCCTGTAGAGAAATATAACATATTTTGCAGAGAATCTCAAAGATGATCTGGAGAGAAAATGTCTTCACAGAGACGCTGTTTGAATGTGAATCCCAGTAAAACCCATGTTTCTTCCTAGCCAACAGAGACAAAGCGAGGCGGAGCTTCTGCCCTCATTCCACAATTAAAGGATCTGTTTTGAGCACTTTAAAAAGGCTGCTGATCTCAATTTCCATATACGGCTCCGTTTGTTGATGGAAAAAACAGCTTTGGTGGCAGTGGGTCACTTACTATATTAGGAAGCGAAACCAGTCCTTATCCCCAAAGCAGCCTGAAAACAGAAGCTCGGTTGATACCTCTGCTCCATCCCCTTCAAGGCTGCCCCATTTATACCCACCCTCCCCCAAATCTGGCACAGCAGGGCAAACAGAAGGTGCCGTGAGGTCCACACCAAAAAAATCTGGCTCAGCAGGGCACACAGAAGGTGCCGTGAGGTCCACACCAAAACTCAACAGCCCTGGGAGCTTGAGGCAGAAACCGAAGAAGGGAATCTGGTTCTGTGGATTTAGGAGGCAAAAATCATCAGTCTTTTCAGGTGGGCGTGGGGAGGATGGAGCAAGCCTCATCCTCCATGTTCTAAATTTCCCCCTGTTCATCAGCAGCACCAGGTCCAACCTACAAGCTCTACAACGAGTCAAAAGTAGCTGAGATACTGAGCATCAGTGGACAGCAATGCCCTTCTTTTGACATACGCTCTGGGTGTGCATCTATAATGAACAGGTCCACACAGGAACTGTGTTGAAGGGGTACATCAGTCTCTAAACATCATCTCACTGTGTTCTGTTCCCAGTGAAAGGTCAGAGAAGAGCATGCTGTTCCAGGCAGATTTGCCCTGTGTTCTGTTCCCAGTGAAAAGTCAGAGAAGAAGAGCATGCTGTTCCAGGCAGATTTGCCATTTGGAACCTGGAAACTGAATTTTATCCATCTTTCAAAGGGGGTTTAATTAGTAAAACCATTTAGATCTGTGGTTCCCAACCTTGGATCCCTGGATATTCCCAGATACCACAACTCCCAGAAGCTTTCAGCCCTTGCTGTGCTGGTCAGGATTTCTGGGAGTTGTAGTCTAAGAACATCTGAGAAGCACTGCATTAGATGCATCTTGGATGTCACAGTAGCCAACTTTGCACTTTATATGTTTAAATGTTTACGTTTCCTTATATGTTGATGTACTCAGTCCACGGTTCATCAAACAAAACTGCCGTGGTGCTTGATGACAAGACCGTCCTGGTAGATTTTGCTCCTTGTGAATTACAAGGCATAGGGCAGGAGAAAGGAGCTGCCATCTTGGGTCTTCCATCTCAAGCAGCCTGGCCACCCCGAATCGTTGGTATCTTTCCATTGCCTCTTCCAGCCACAAGCGTCATGGCCTTCGTGCTGATGAGGTTAAGCAGGGCAAGAGCCGAAGATGGTGTTGAAAAGATTTGCTACTGACTTAAACGGGAAGGTTCTGATTCAGGGTCATTTCTGAAGGCACCCTGCACGGTCGCTGGAGAGCAGGAGCCGTCAAACATTCCCAGGATCCACCACTTCCAGGTTTATGTTGTCATTTGCTGTAGCAACTACTTATCTCTGCAGAGATTAGCCTTTTCAATCACTGTATAGGCAAAGACTCCTAGTGAGACCTGTTTCCTGAGCTGTCACCACCAGCACGAGGAACGTCCGAAAAGTGAGCCGCGAAATGTGACACTTACAAAAAGAAGCCAGCCTTCAGCAAACAGTCAGTTAGAGCAAGATTCAGGACACACATTTCAGAGGCAACCTATCAGGTAGGAAAAGCAACAGCCCCATCCAAGCCTGCCAGCCTCGCTCTGACTTCCACCCAACCAAGAAGCAAGCTGGCTTCTGAGTCTGGCTGAAGAATATGGGGCTTGTCGAAACCGAAAGGAAGGCATGGCAAACCAGTCGCTTGGGTGCTAAGCTGGTTAGTATTATGCACAATTTTATGGATGTCTACCCTCCCTATGGTTTCCATCCAACTGGAACCTAAGTCCTAGGAGGAAAGATTGAAAGAATTCAGCATGCTTAGCCTTGAGAAAAGAAGACTGAGAGGAGACAGGGTAGAACTCTTCAAATACTTGAAGGGTAGTCCTATAGGGGAGGGGCAGGATCTGTTCTTGATCATCCCAGATTGCAGGGCACATAATCATGGGCTCAAGGTTGATATTCAGCCAGATCGAGGCTGAATATCAGGAAAAATGTCCTAACGGTTAGAGCAGCATGATGATGGAGCCAGTGACCTCAGGGTGAGGTGATGAGCGCTCCAACACCGGAGGCATTCAAAGAGAACATTGGACAACCACCAGGCAGATAGCCTGCGATGTGTATTCCTGCCTTGAGCAGGAGGATTGGACTTGAGGGCCTTCTAGACACCTTTCCCATTCCACGATTGAAGCAGAGTTTGGAAGTGGGTGAACAGTCTTGGCCAGAACTTAGTTCTCTTCATCTACGGCTCCCAGAATCCCTTAATCAACACTGACCACTACTCATGCAGTTGCCTGGCCAGCAGGAAAAGTAACATTTCTGCCTTGGTTTCCAGTTGGATGGAAACCATAGACAGGGTAGACATCCATAAAATTCTGCATAATACTAACCAGCTTGGCACTGTTTTGGGTGTTGGGCTGTTAGAATCACACTTGTAAAGGTTTAGAAGAGAATGACCGCCCTGGCATTCAAAACTAGCAGAGCAGGGAAGAAGCTAGGCTAAGAATTCTCCCCCAAATTTGCAAATTTTTTAGAGCTCAAGGAAATTAGGTTTACGTAGGACAGCTTTTAAGAACAGAGGTTCTTGCTGACATGGCATAGAACGCCCTCCCCCATGGTGACTGGAGGCTGTAGCCCAGGAAGGCTGCTCTGGTCTGCTCTAGCGGCTCAGAGTTCCTCCCACCTCCTCTGTGGAGTGCGTAAGCCTAGGCTTTATTTCCACTCTTGTTTTTCGTTACAAAAAAAGCCAAGGAAGACGTGAGATCCATGAATGCAGGAGCCCGTCTGGCGCTTCGTTGCTGTTTGTTTCCTCCAAACTTGGTGCAACCTTCTTGACGTCATGCCAGAGTCTGCCAACACGAGTGCAGGAGGCGTCTTGCTTTGCTCTCCTCACGTGCCCAAACCTTCCTTTCCGAATGTACCGAAGGGTGTTGCTTACCTCAGAACAACGACAGCACTTTGTCCGAGGGGGCGACCCACTCGGCCTTATCAGTTCCTTTCCATGAGGTCTGTTGTTCTGGAAAGTAAGAGGAGGTTCTCTGGTGTGGAGGTGCCAGTCGCTGCCAGAAGACTTCTCCATCCCCCTCGGCCCCCTTACAGAGATGCTTGTGTGGCTGGACCGGCTCTTCCACGTGGACCTCCCAGCTTCCTCACAGCCTGGAAAGCAGAGAAACCCAACATCCTCTTACTAGAAAAGTCAGGCCCATGTTCTCCTTTAGGTTGCCAGGTCTTGCTGTGATGCCCGAGACACCAGGTTACGAGCCGGCGTTCTGAGATCTCAGGGAAAAAGGTGTTAGTGATCACCCCACTTTTGGTTCAGAAAGCCATTTTCATTTTAGCAGTGCATGGACTTCATGACATGATTCCCCCACAGGGCCTCCTTGACGGGGGGCTGAACTCGATGGTCCATAGGGTCCTTTCCAACTCTGCATGAGGATGAGGAGGATGAGGATGTGTCATAGCCTTCAACTTGCACCTCTTTTCCAATCAACTCTGAGGCCAGACTCTTAGCTGTCCTGCTTCAGTGGCTTTTAAATTCATCGCTGCCTCTCCATTTGGTCCCAGGATTTAGCTCATACCAATTCACAACTGTGGCTGAAGGGTTTGCCTCCCGCATCGTCACAAGGACAGGAACAACAGCCTTCCCAGGGGCCTTTCCAACCCACAGCACCCCGATTTCAAGTTTTGGCCTCGAGATCTCAGAAGATGGGATGCCGGTAACTCTACGGGTCTTGAAGTAGGGCTCATTAGAAGATGCTGGGCATCTTATTGTTTTGCAGAGTTCCATTTTCCAGTGTTGTTTTGAAGTTCCGCCTCCCTCCTCACATTGGCATGGGGGGGGCACAGGCTGTCCTGTGCATGCGTCATGAAAATGCGCGTGTGTGGCAGCATGGCGTCAGTCAGAGATCTGTGGAGACCCGGATAGAAAGCAGTCCCTTCCAGATTTCCCTTCAGCAGAAGAAAGTAGAAGTGGCTCCATCCAGTGAACTTTACCACTGAAGAGGGATTTGAACCCGGGTCTTCCAAGCTCAAGGACATTAGTATTGACTTGTGTGTGTGTGACAGAAGTAGAGGAGATTTCTGGGCCCATGGCACCTCTTCTTTGTTTTGACACCCCCTGCCCGGTGGAACATTTGTTCTGTTGTCCTGCAGTCTTCTGCATTGGTTTAAGCATCTGGCTGCAGGGCCAGAGGTTGGGAGTTTGATTCCCCCACTGCCAGCCTGTGTAGCTCTGGGCAAGCTGCAGAGTCCCCGGACACCCCTGGAAGAAGAGCATGGGGAACCTTCTGAGTACTCTCTACCTGGAAAAGGGTTGCCATAAATCAGAAGCAATGGGATGGCAGATACTGATTAGGGTTGCTATCTAAAATACTGCTAGCAAAGAGAGAACTCTGAAGCGCATACGCTCCAGGGAACAGAGGCCAGGCTCGCTCACGTGCGTCCTAATTTCTTTAATAAGAAACAAACCGATCACCCCCTCGTCCACTCCCGCCCAATTCCAGCTGTTCAGCCTGGGAACGTTGCTGGGCTCAAAATAGCTTTTTGGATGCCACACCGAGCGGGCGGGCGGAGGCGCTGGGAGCTGCATTCCCTTGTTCCCGGTTCCTGTTATCGGCACATTGTGTCAAAAGGGCCCGAAATGTCGCAGCCTGTTTTTACGCGTGATAAGTCAAATTTTCACAACTTCCAACGGCTGTGGCAGATGAAAGGGGAGGAGGGACGAGCCCATGCAAGAGTCCGCAAACACACACACACACACACACGTCCATCTGAATGGGCAGAGCGTAGGACGGCCCTGTGCCCTCGGTTACAGAGACGGCCCTCTCGTTGAGGGTGCCCATTATTTAAAGGGCTTCCGATTCAAGCCTAAATTAAAGATAATTAACCACAACAAGAGAGACTGAGGAACCTCAAGCTGTCCGTAGTGAGCAGCATCTCGGTGAGCAGATTCAATGTGCTCGCAGATCACCGGGTCCCCTTCCCTTTGGCTAGGAACCACTTCTCACTTTGCATTTGTACATACAAGTCAACACAGACAAGTTTACTCCAGTCAGCATCCTCTTTTTTTTAGTGTGTGATGTGTGCCTTGGTTTTTTTTTAAAAAAAATCTTTTTGATGCCCCGGGTGGCCTTGTGGGCAAGAACCTGGTGATTAAATACTTTCAGCAATCAAACACAGGTTGGGCTCCCTAGCAGAGAGAGGTGGACCTGATCCTACACAGAGAACAACTAAGCAGTCACACGCTCTTCCTAGACCATGAAATGTTGGCTTGCAGGTTTTATTTTCAGGAGGTAGGGGAAGAGATGTTGCAAATATGATTGCCCCTTTATAAAATTGGCCTTAAGCTCAGAAAAGGGCCAAATGGGGGAGAGCATCTAGGCTGAAGCCCCCTTTCTAACCAAAGCCACCTATTGACCTGCAAAGCACGTCACACAACAGCGCATCATCTGGGGGTGGTGGTGGTGGTTTGGTTTAAAAAGCATCCTGCAAACCATTCATTTAGGCATGGGGTGTGTGTGATCAGGGCAACATGGTTTGTAAACAGGATCTTCCTGTGTTGTTTGGGACCCCCCCACAGCTAATTCTCCTGAGTACGGGGGGGCTGGACTTTTGCCCCCTCTGTCCTGCCCTGATAATACTGCTGGCTCTCACTTCTTCATCTGTTAGGGTGCAAGCAAACAGAAATATCTCATATTGTGGACCTCTCGTGGCATGTTCTGGCGTGGGCTATCTTCCAGCGATCACACAATGTACAGGAGATCACGAATCAGACTGGTCCTGTCCTGTCCCCAACTTGGTCCTATTTGGCCCTACGGCAGGGCTGCTTTTGGGGGGTCAGGGGGCAGGCTGGAGCAACCCTTGCAGGGACTGGAAAGAAACTTTCAGGGAGATCACTCCCAGGAAAGCAACCCTTTCCAGCACGATCAGACACTATCCTTTCTCACCGTCTGATCCTCACCCTTCCTTTAATCCGTTTCTCATGTTCCTCCTTTCAAGTACCAAGGTCATGCACACCTACCCCTTCAAACAATCCAGAAATGTGATGGCAAAGGCATCGGGTGGTGCACAAAAGAGATGAAAACTCAATCAATGTGATCGGTTTGAAGGATATGCTTTTAAGACAGAGATTTGGCTTCTGTCAGCAGCAGCTGGGACTGATCACGAAGAACACAAGCACAAGACACACAAAATGCATCACACTGGGAATGCATGTTTGCATCTACCAGATGCTGCTGTGGTCATTTTGAGGAAGGTCATTGCTCCATGCACTGACCTCGCTATAAAAATAACCACCAGCAGCTCCATTTCCCACTGATTTGGCCTTCAGACTGCAAAGCTTACCCTTATAAACCCTGCAGGCTTTAACAGAGCACAGAAACCATTCGATGAGCCTGTCACGCTGCTCTCTAGAAACCAGCATGGTCTGCTGCCTGCACCCCTATCTACAGAGGAAGTGGCGGAATTCGTAGTTTATGCTGAACAGAGGCCTCCTCCCCGAGCCCTTTGCCACCCGGCCGAACTTGCTCACGTCATAAAAATGAGCTACTGGCTAATGAAGGGAAGCATTCTGAGATCCAAACAAACCAGTCTCTGGGATTTTCTTTCCCATCCTTGGTGGATCTTTCCCCTGACCCCCAAAAGGGTCATTTTCAGAGAGTTTGCTCGGCTACATAAAAAGCACATGAAGCGCTAATGACCTGGTGCATCATTTTGCTACACCTGCACATGAAGCATCATTTTGCTACACCTGGTGCCTCATTTTGCTACCTGAGCTATTTAGCAATCCCTGGTTAGAGTGGCTTCGTGGGATGCTGCTTCATGACAGGACTGGCCTCCAGCAGCTATTTGGCGGTGCTTGGAAGGAGTGTGCGCAATCGAATGGCCATTTGGTGTCAAAAGGGACACAAAGCATTTTGTTCCACTCTCCAGGTCCAGTATTTCTGCTGGTTTTCCCCTTGTTCCATAGTGTGCTATGTTAAACGGTCCTGTTTAGCGCTATTTCACTTAGTGTTTTCTATGAGATCATCCACAGCACTAAGTGGAGTATTACTGTAAAGGATTAGACAGATTGATAAGAAAACATCAAAGCCATCCAGGGACCAACTCTCCCCACAGAGAAGAAGCCTCTCATCAGAGTCAGACCACTGGGCTCTCTAGTTCCATTCCCTCCAACCCAGCTGGCCTTGTCAAGGCTTCAGGTAAGACTTTCTCCAGCGCTCAATCCAGCTATGTACCAGGTATTTTACCCGGGATCTCATGCAGGAAAAGCTGATGGCATGAGCTTCCTGTCTATTGAGATTCCTGCGGTCAGGTGAGAAGTCCCCTTGGCTAACCCCACCCCTCCTGATGGGCAGCAGGTGGACAGTCACACTGGACCATATAAAGTCCTAACATAGCAACCGGTCGCTCTACAGGGTCCTTAGCTCACTGGTCAGTCTAGAAATATATACACTCTTTACACACAACAACATTTGATTCTTCCCGCATGCTTTATTTAAAGTTCTAGCCAACAGCCTCCCTTTGAAGGTTTATTCAATGTTCAGAGCTGTAACATATGCTTCATTTGATTACTGGGCAACACTTGATTTCCTCTCATCTCTACATACCACGTGTGACACCTTTTCAACGTCACATCACATTCTCCCAGTCCATGAAACTTTCTTTCTCCTCACAGGCATTTGACCACAACTGTTCCTGGAATGGACCCATTTTTCTAAAGATCCTTTTCGGGTAAAAGATACCTGCATCATAGCTACAGGCCTATGTTCTCGTAGAACAGGGAATTCCAATCTGTGTCATAACGAAGCTCCCGAAGGACGCAAAACTGAAAGGATGATCAGAGACAACTATGTTTCCTTGTTGAGGGTTGTTCTGCTGTGTCAACTTGCTTTGACCCGAGATAAAGAGTAGGTGCTACCAAGTAGATCCACCACGAAGCCATTCCCAAATAAACCCAGCAAAAAGGAAGCCAAGGGGGTAGCCTGGCTCTTATGGGCCTTTTGCCATAACGCCCAAGAAGATGGAGCAGCAGCAGGAGGAGGAATGAAAGAGAGCAGGTTCAAGGCAGGAGCTTCTTTGGGTTCAAAAAGGCTGAGCCACCAACAAGCCTCCATCCTGCACCGCTCCTGACCCATTTCTAGCTGTTGCAAAGAAGCTCGGAATAAAACAGAATCGAAAAAGTAACCCACGGGTTCACCATCTGCCAAGGCAAGGTCGTTGGGTTCCTGGGAAGTGGGAGGGATGCTGAGTCCACAAACTGGAGCCAAAAGCTTGCAAGGTGCACCATGGGGCCTCCCAAGATCATCCCCACAGAAGGTCTTGCTCCAACCAGGGGCCATCTGAATGCTGAACTAGGGTCCTGCTCCCTAGTAAAGCACCCGCCCATGACTCAGGACCATGGAGTCAGAACAGTTCAGTCCGATTTAAGAAAGGGCTGAGCCCTTTGTCAAGAAAACAAGTCCCACATGGGATGAAAACCCCAGGGTGGGGATGGAGGCTGAGGTTCCAGTTCTTCTCCAGCATCTCCAGAGGGAAAAAATTAAATACCAGCTTTCATGAATCCTCTGGAGTTCTGTCTGACCCACCATGAGTTCCGTGCAACCATTCTAGAAATTGCCCTAGGCAACTGTGCTCGAAAAATCATCCTTCTTAGGAATGGGGCGCGTTAGCTTACACTCAGGGAGGGAAACCTTCTCCTTCTCTTCTGTTTTCCTTGCAAACCGGCACACAGATTTTAAGGAGTCCTCCAGGAGATGGTTCATCTTCTCAGAGTCCTCCTTGAAATGCCTGATGCTCTCAAGTTTAACTTCCAGCTCTGCAAATTTCTTCTTTTCTTTCTCAAGCTCTTCATTTAACCTCACTACTTTGGTCCAGACCTCGAAGTTCTCCTCCTGGAGGCTGCAAAACAAAGAGAAAGATGTCAACGAGCGAAATGACCCCAAGAACCAGGCCCCGTCTCCTTGAATGGGGGAGGAGAAGGAAGGGCCGGAAAAACAGCATCAGCTTGGGTACCAAAGCTTGTGAAGGTCACCGATTAAACTTAGACCTCCTATTGGGTGATGTGGGCACCACACACAGCAGGAGGGGGGCACAGCTTGAAATTATGGATAGCTGCACAGAGATTAATTACTGGGAGATTAATGGGAGCTGCGCAGAAGCCCAGTATTAAACTGGAGACAACACCACTTCTATCAAGTCTCTGGCAACATTTTTGCATTCGCCATACTCTCTCTTTTTTCTTTGTGAAAGAACCATGCTTCTCAGAAAATGAAGCTACCACATGTTGAATCAAAACCCTAGCACACTTCAAGGGAAAGGTGTGTTTCATATGTTGACAGCATTTTCCTTCAAGATATGCCATTCCTTCAAAGCTCCACCAAGTTTGCAAAGAAAGCTCGTGTTTTGCTTCCCAGAGACAAATCACAAGCTCATTTCCAACCTGCGGAAGGAGTTAAGCTAGTGCTGAGGTTAAGAGGCATCTTTCAACTGTGAAAGGAGTTTGGTGGCTAAAGACGGGCAAAACGCACCAGCGCTCATTCCCTGACTCTCGGCCCAGCTAGGCTTGGTCTTTGCCACTCTTGAGTTCTCCAAAATCTCACAGCAAGGCCTTTTTCTCCAACATACTGAGCTTGTGGCTGTTTTGACTAAATTCGGCAGAGGCTGAATTTGGGAAGCAGAGCCGGCCCTGGACTGGGGGATTTGGGTGCATGAACTAAGGATGATGGGGAAAATGTGTTCTGTCCCTTTTGTTCTGGTCACACTTTACACCACCGTTCTCAAACCAATATGAAGACAGAAGTGCTGTTTCTTCCATATTCACACTTCAGCTAAACATGGCAATGCTGCCGTCTGAAGAAAGAAGACTCATATTACATGTGCACATACTACGACAAAAAATCTTCATTATTATGCATAGTGAAAATAACCTGAGAAAAAATCATTATATATTTTTTTGGGGGGGTGGGGGGAATTGCTCCAAACAGCCTATGCTGAAGAATCTATGCCCTGGCACCCAGAGATGTGTGATATAAACAGGCGGCTGAAAACACAGCCATCGTCTTTGGAATAATATACCTCTTTATTTGTCTCTCGTAGTCATTTTTCTGTGACTCCAGCGATTTCCTCAGCTGCACAATTGTCTTTTGAAGTGAGTCAGGATCCTCTAAAGGAGAGCCTTTGCCTTCAGCAGGAGGGTATGGAGCTGTGCCCCCATTTAGCTTAGGGCTGGGAGTTTCGCTGGTTTGGAAACTTTTCCCCAGATGACCACTTAACTGGGGCGAGGGGCTCTCCCTCGGTGGAGTCTCTTTCTTTCTTTCCTCCACGGCACTCTGGCTGTGGTCAGAGTTTGAGGTTTGTGGGAAATTGAGCAACCTAGAAAGCCCACAGGATGAGGTCCTTTTGTGGCCACTGACGGAGGAAACTGGGTTGGGATGGACAACAGAGGAGGAGGAGGAGGAGGAGCACAAGCCAGGACTGGAAACATCCTCCCCATCCATGCTTTGGTTCCCTATGTTGGGAGGAATGTTCAGGAAACACGTCCTGTTGGGAAGCGTCTGAGTCCTTTTCCGAGACTGCGCTGCCCACCCTCCGGGAGCGTCTTGGAGCGGAATCTCCCCGTTATCTCCTGCTGATGGATCGGTCCTGCTTGCATGTTTTGAACTGGCAGGTTCTGCATCATCTTTCTGAAAGCAAAGCCGGAAATAATGGTAATATAGTAATCATCTTAGAACTGCAGAGCTGCAGACCTACATTTTTGGGGTCCTGAAGCATGAATTATTAGGGGGGGTCTCTATGCAACCAGCAACAAAGTTGATAGTGGCCGACCTACATTTTGGGGGCCCTGAAGCATGAATTATTAGGGGGGTCTCTATGCAACCAGCAACAAAGTCTGAGCAACCATTGTTATCTTCTTCATTGGGGTTGGTCCATAACAGATCACCACATTAAAAAAAATGACTAAAGTTATTTCTGGGGTCCCTCTGGAATTAGGGGCCCTGACATCTAAGCTTCCTTAATTTCATAGGGGATGTATCCTGATCATCCAGTTCAGCCCCTGTCAAGAAGGCACAATGCGGGAATCGAACTCTCAATTTCTGGCTCCCCAGCCAGAGACCTCAACCCCTGAGCTATTTAGCAGTTTATCAAAGCAAATCCAATCAACTTAATGTGGGGCAGCTAGACACTAAGCAATAAAGGATGTTCAGTAAAAGTCAGAACAGAGAGAACACAGAGCAGCTTCGCAACTGAAAATGCCCTCGTGGTCACCTGCTGGTGTTGTTGCACTTTATAGGCTTTTGAGGGGACGTGGTGGCGCTGGGGGTTAAACCGCAGAAGCCTCTGTGCTGCAAGGTCAGAAGACCAGCTGTCATAAGATCGAATCCACGTGACAGAGGGAGCTCCCGTCACTTGTCCCAGCTCCTGCCAACCTAGCCATTCAAAAGCATGTAAAAATGCAAGTAGATAAATAGGGACCACCTCGGTGGGAAGGTCACGGCGTTCCATGTGTAGTCGCACTGGCCATGTGACCACGGAAACTGTCTACGGACAAATGCTGGCTCTACGGCTTGGAAATGGGGATGAGCACTGCGCCCTAGAGTCGGACACAGCTGCACTAAATGTCAAGGGGAACCTTTACCTTTACTATTTGCTTTTGAGCTTGCATGTTGCCTGTTACTCATATTGCTTAAACTTAAGGTTGGTATCATCATCATCTAAGAAGCTTAGAAGGCCCTTCCCAAAAGAAAGGCAATGTTAAAAAAAAGATTAAAAAAAAAATACCCTCCAAGCTCAATAGAAATGCAATAAGTACATGTGCAATGTCAAGCTTTTGCACACACGTGGCATCTCCAGTCACAGCAAATGGATTAAAGCAGCATCTGGACACTCACAGCTTCCCAAATGGTCCTGTCCACCGTCCTGGATGTCCACGGTGCCTGGACAGCATCCCAACCTACTGCGCTGCGTGGCACGGAGGATTTCTTGGAATGGCTCTTCTGGAGACGTGGAGAAGGCACCACCTCTTTCAGCGCAGGGAAGAGCTTGGTGTGCTGGCTGATCATCACGGTCATCACTTTCTGGATGTGGTGGGTCCCTGTCATTGTGCAATAATCAGGTTGGGAAGGGGGGGTTTAGCTGGAGATGCATGAACTCTGCGGAATGGAAAGGCACCGCTGTTGTTCTAATGCAGCACCCTCTTAGAGAATATGGGGCACCAGAAGCCTGTTTAGTGGGCAATGCCCCACCGCACCTTTCATTATGGTGACGGGATCCTCCATCTTTGGCTTGATGAGGTTCACGCCAAACACTGTCGCCAGGTTCTCTACGCTCATCTTGTTGGTGATCGAGTTCTGCTGGATTTCATGGAGGAACCTGCCCAGATCCAAGGGCATTGTGTGGGGAAGAGAGAAACATCGGGGGGTTAGCTATGACTTTTGAAATGACCAGCTGTTGCTGTTGAGCCAATGCTGGCTGCCTCTGATGGGGGGTGGACTTGATGATCCATAAGGTCCCTTCCAGACCTGCAGTTCTAAGGTGGCGATGATGTGAAACATCCAAATTAGAGTTCAATAATTTAGCCGACAGGACAGCTCAGCGGTTGAGGCCTCTAGCTGTGGAGCCAGAGGTTGGGAGTTTGATTCCCCCACTGGGCCTTATTGACAAGGGGCTGGACTCCATAATCCAGACCACCCCTTCCAGCTTGGCAATCCTGAGAAATGTTTAGTGTATATCTAGAAGAGGTGCTCCCTCAAGTGGCGAATGTCTCCTATTTATCATTGCACATCACTTTCCGTGACATTGTATCTTCTCTTTAGTGGGCTGTAGGTCCTTGAGAGGCAAATACAACCTGAATTTGCAGATCTGGCTGCTAAGGCATCCATCTCTGAGGGAATCTCACAGTGGGAGGGAAAAGATGAAGAAATATCCTCCGCCACCATCATCCTTAGTTTGAACTTGATTGTGCGAACTGTGTAAGTAGAAGAACCTAGGTGAGAAGAACCGACATCCCCTCTTGTGGGGACAAAACCCCAAACACCTCAAGGTGGGGTTAGTGGACAGCCTGCTCCCTCGCCTTTGCCCCTGAGGCCTTCACCTGCACAGACACTCAGCCCATAAAGGCCTTTGGGGAAACATCTTCCATGTAGGTTCTCATCTCTGGAGGATCTGCTTTGGACACTCAGCCTGTTGCAAAAGTCTGGGGAACACTGTTGGGTACACAAACGGTTCAAAGATGTCCTGATTTTTGAGGTGTGTTTCTCTAAGGGAATGCCATGGCATGAAAAAGCCGAGGTAAATTTCAGGGTATATCTTTAAGGGGAAAATGTCTAGTCTTATACTCTGGGGTTTCCTCAGAGAGACATCCCTCAAAAATCAGACTGGCCAATTAAGCCCGTGCCTACGTTCTGATGACCAATCAGATCACCAGGCTGTAACCATCATCATCAGAAAGGCATAAGCACCACCAACTAGGATGAACGGCACTTGAGGGTACGGATAACCCTAACCTTAATTCTAATCCCATATTTGCAACAGTGAGCTAAAAAGACATCCATGAAGAACCTACCGGCAGATATAGCTGAGGAGGTTGCAATTGTCCCGGGGCAAGAGCGCCAGCTGCTTCACCAGCTGCTGGTGACCCTAGAAGAGGACAGAGATGGTTTCTCAGTGAACACAGATATTTGCCTTTTGCATCAGCCACGAGCTAGTCCTGGCACAGTCAGAACGGCAGAATCTGACTTCAAATAAAGGTGCATTTCAAGGTGTCAACAGGGAACTTTGCTTGAAAGGCAAGCGTCAGCTTCCAAGAGGTTCATGGATGCTCTGGCATCTCTGCTCCTCCAGAAAAATGTGCCAGTTGACGACCATCCAACCGGGACTGCATCTAGGCAATCCTAAGGGGTGTGTGTATGCGTGCGTGTTTATTTGATACCTTTGCTTCATCCGCTGTCAGAAGTTGTCCACACAACAGGAAATCCTCATACTGTGCGCAAGGTATGACCGGTTCCGGAAGTTCCCTTAGGTAAAGTTTAAGCAAAGAGGCGACCGTGTGCACATCTGTATCTCTGCAAGACAGGAGGGTGCATCGGGAGGGACAGAACCCAAACGGGTTAGTGAGAGCAGGCCGATAAAAGGGAATCGTACACCCCTCTTCCCCATCGTGGCAGAATGCCTTGGGGTCCCTGATTACCCCCCCCTTGGGAAAGCCTGCCACCTACTGGTCAAAGGAGGGCCGCTCTCCAGCATCAAAGGCATCTCGCAGCTGTTTCACCAGGTTGTCTTGACCGGGGAGCCGGAAGATTCCCTCTTCGTTCAGGCCGTGCTTTCGGATGAACTCGGCACATTTCTCAACCAAGATGGGGACCTGGTACTGCCCAAAGCGCTGCTCGTAGGCCATGGTTTCTGCCAGCTGTTGACCAAAAACCACTGCATAAAAATGTAACACACAGAGAGAGAGAGAGAGAGAGAGAAAAGAAAAGTTACTAAATGGCCACCATCAGACTGTTTAAACAACTAGTTTGAATCAGGGAGTAGTTATTATTGAACATTCCTTTTTATAGTAACAAAGTTACAAATTACATCATGATTGCAATGTAATAAAGGATGATTTCTCTTTTTTTATGGGGTCAATGTGAGTTGTCAGCTACATTCTTTTGTACTTACGAGTCCCCAAAATGGCAGAAGAGAAATACCACTTAATTCATGCTTGCCCTGTCCTAAGTTGTTGTTGTTTAGACAATTACAAGGTGAGGGAAGACAGTGTTTCATTTTACAGGCCAGTAGCTTATACCCCTGAATAGTAATGAGGAAGGCCTCAGACATGAGAAAGCAAACATTTGTTGTTTAAAAACCGTAAATATTAAGGGTAACCAATTATTTTGGGGACCCTGGATTTATATAAACAGTGGACCGATTTTGGAAAGTAGCTTTCCTATCTTGGTGTAAAACCAGGAACTTCGAGCCCTCTTGATGTTGTTAGACTACAAATCCCATCAGCTCTGGGCAGCATGGCCAGTGGCAAAGGATGATAGGGGCCATAGGCTACGAACACCTGGAAAGTTTTGCATTCCTGATTCTTGATTTAAACTAGCTTCCATTTGAACACCCCCCACTGCATACAAAGACCTGAGCCTTCACTTGAAACTCTGCTGCTTTGGACCATGAAATAACAAATCAAAGGCCAACACATTTCATAAGAATCTTAGTAATCTTTGCCACAGTCTTATAAGCTAAGCTAAATATCCTCCCCAAATTGCAGACAGGAGGAAGGAAACGGAAGCCGCAGTTCACGGCAGAAGCAGGATTTGAACCAGGGACTTCACAAAGCTCTGCCAGTTCACACCCATGCTGATGAGCCTTTTCAATGGCTCTGAAGGATTTTGCAAGTGTGTTCCTGTGTCGCCATGTCATTGGGACTGAGGCATTGCATCGCAAAGTTGAGGAGTTTTGGTTTTTTTTTACAGGAACAACGATCGGACGACTCCAAGCCAAAATTAAAGCAGGCCACCCCTAAAAGGTCAGCGGCGAAGGTGGTGCCGGGTACCTGCGCCCTGGTGCAGGCCTGCCTTTTCCCTGAACTTCCAGCAAAAGGACGTCCATAGAACTGGAAAGCAGGAACTCCACTCCCAGGCCTTCATCCGGAGCCCAGGCGGTAAAGCAGCAAGAGAGAAATCCAGAGTTCAAACAGCCCTTCCCGAATGGCGAAGGATGGCCGAAGGGGCTTCGGAGGCCCTGGGCGGCTCCTCTTTTCATCTTTCCTTCCAGATCCCGGCCAAGGAGCCTCAACGTGTCTTCTTTTTCCAAATCAACCCAACATTGTATATGCTTCTTTTCAGGACCAACGAGCACCAACTGTTTTGAAATCTATTCTGATGTGTGTGTTTTTTCTGTCTGCTTTTCGGTCTTGGAAGCCGCAGCGAGGAGGGTGTTGATGGTGTACAGTTGAGCCTTTATACAGAGCTCTTTGGGTGTTTAAAGAGCAGACGTAAAACCTGTCACTCTGATGGCTCCTTTTCCACCAGGTTCTTGCTCCTCTGTGAATTCCTTCAATTCAATGAATACTGCCCAAAAGAGAGAGAGAGAGAGAGAGAGAGAGGCCAATCCCTCCAATACCACGTCTTCCTTCCTAATGGCAGCCGGTGAATGAAAGAGGCCCTCCTTTCCTCGAGGGTAAAGCACACTCCAAAACGATGCTACGTCCAAAGCACTTCACAAAGCCACGATGGTCGGTGCGTAAGTGGCCCCAAATGCTTTCTAGAGAAACGCCCGACAGGCCTGGTTCTTCTCTGTGCCTTTTCCATCTAGAAAAGACTCAGCTTGCACTGAACAAAGTTGACAGAGAGAGACTGATCTGAACAGACCGTTCATAAAGACGCCTCGGGAAGCCCGGCCATCTGCCAGTAACAGACACGGGCATCTCTGTGACATCCCATTCAGACCCCTTGTGTTAGCCATTCTTGCTGAGAATTTCTTTTTTTATATATACAGTATATAGCAAGAAAGTGATGCATTACGTCATGATTGTAATGTAACAAAGGATGATTTCTCTTCTTTTCTGGGCCACCATGCTTTCTTCTTTGTTATTTGTTCTTTTATTTTTATTTTATTATTTGGGTTTTATCTATAATTCTAAATGCTTTGTCTGATTGCCCACCCTGTACCGGAGACAATGTGTTGGAAATGTAGCATAAAATAATATATTTCCATTCCTACTTACAAACAAGGGGATGTTTTAACTGTCTCCTGCATCTGAACTTTTAAAACCTTGGAGGTTTTTCTGGCCTGAATTTTGCTCAGCGAACTTTGTTTTTGGGAAAACAGAACTGAAATGAGAATTTCACCACTTGCACCAGCTAAATTTAAATTCAGTAGAGACAACTGTGCTGAGCCTGCCAGCCATAAATGTGCTGAACAGGAAGTGCCTTTCAGAGCGGGAGGGGAAGAAGAAGTCTAATTTATTATTAAGATGGCAGAAAACACGCTGACTGAAAGCCAGATTTCAAAAGTCATTATACTCACAGGCTTGTGCCTGGATTAATTCAGCTGTTGGTTTCATTTTCCTTCTGTTTTCAATTTTTAAAAACATAATCTTCAGTTGTTTCCATTCCGCATATAAATCAACTGCAAATTTTGGAAAATCCGCACAAAGACCAAATTTAGAGATGGGTACGAACCACAGGTCCAGCATGGTTCATTTCCTGGCCAAATCGCCGATCCACAGCTTGGCGCCCTGTCCCTTCCAGCAGGCACCCACTCAGAGTCAACTGTTGGCGACTCTACAAATTAATGATCTCTTAAAAGTCCTGTTTTTTTAACAGCCAGTCTTGCACACTCAAAGCTGTGGTTGCTTTATTGAGTCAAGGCATCCCCCATGCTCGGTCTTCCTCTTTTCCTGCTGTCTTCAACATTTCCTCACCCTGACTGTCTTTTCCTGTGCATCTTGTCTTCACATGATAGAGCCAAAGCAGGATGACCTCAGTCCAGTTTTGATTTGTTCTAGTGATCAAATGCTTCTAGAGAGAGTTCTGCTTTGATTTGATCTAGAACCCACTTCTTCTTTCTGGCTGTCTATAGCATCCTTCTGGCCTTCTTGACTCTCCAGCTTTCACATCTGTATAGAGTAATCGGGAATAACTGTAGTAGGAAAGATCTTGGCCTTGACATATTCCCAATCCCCCAAAGCTGTGTGCTGCTCTTGCAATAAACAAAGGACTAAAGGGTTCTATCAACTTCCTGAAAATCTCTGGTGCTCCATTACTGAAGAGTAGAGGTGTCTAACTTTATGCAGTTATGAATTAAGTAGAAATAGGAAGATCCAGTGCAAACTTATCTTTTTTCCATATCATATTGGGATACATGGAAACTGGGCAAGCTCTAAGCTTGAACCCCTTCTTCTCCTTGTGCTTTTTGGACTACGAGTCCAAGAATTCCCTACCATGGCCATTGCTGTAATTCAATTCAGCTCCAATCCCCATAGTTTTATTTTTCCGAGCATCGTGCGCAGACAGCTGCCCCTCTTTACCTCCTAAGGGAGACCCCACAGCCCTCCGGAGCAATCTGACCCACTCCTCCATGTCTGCCTGGGAACTAGCCATCAGCACGTAGGAGTCTTGCCCACTTCGGTTCTGTTCTCCTGAGATGCCTGCAGAGGAAGAAGGAAAATGGGAAAGGAGTCTTATAGAGCGATAAGAGAAAATGCTAGGTATGTCTTCCTTTCTCTGCTAAGTGATATGTTTCCCTTGAAAAACTTTTATCCCTCTGTAAAATACAGAAGGATCCTCTTATCCGTGGGATCAGCATCCACTGAATCACTGGTTCACAGCCTGAAAATATTAAAAGAAAAATCCTAGCAATATACATTTCTAACAATGAAGTTTACAGAACTGGCGACTAGAGGGAGCCAAAAACCAAACTATAATCCACGTATTTCAGCATCCACGGGGGCGGGGCTTGTTACTGATCTCCCGTGGATGCGTGGGGTCCTACTTATACACTGCAGCACCATTTCTGCCTAACCGAAACGGAGAAGTGCACTTTGGCTGCAGAATTGACTGAGGGTGTGATCTCATGGGAAAAGAGTCCACAATCTGGGCCATCCTGGGGACAGTCCAGTGCAGTCTATTTCCCAGCAATCACGCGATGCACGAGGTAACAAACTGGCCGAAGCGAGAAACATAGGCGGGACTCACGTGGGATGATTTCAAAGATAAACTTCCCGCCTTCGTCCGGGGCGGCCGCGACTTCCTTGATTGTGCTGCCATGCAGTTGCACCAAACCCTGTGACCAAAGAGAGCAACAAGTCTGAAAATGTAAAACGGGCAAATATATAAACAAGTAGTCGATGGGGGGGAAGAAAAAAGAAAAGCTCGTTTTACCATTTAATGACCTTTAGTTCAAGCTACACATGCTTGTTTTTCTTTTCTCTATGTGGAGTTTAACACAGGCAGCTACGGTGGGGAAACGGAAGCATTTCAAAGATGGTCATCTCACCGGATGTGGACAATTCCTTGAATCCAGAGGGTGAAAAATAACGAACTACTAAAGCGAATGAATAGGTAAGTAGCAAGTGACCAGTTTTCAAAGAGGAAGACGTCTCATTCTGTTCCAACGTTAGCCAAGAGAGGCTTCGTTGGGTCCTCTGGGTCCAGTTTAAGTTTGCTCTGCTTGACATTTATAGCTGAGGAGGTGTGTACCTCTTGTGAAAGAGGTAGAGGCGTAAAATCAAATCGAGATCCCTCTTCTTCATGCCCACGGGAAAGTCTGCCTGCCCCGGACACCCTGCCATGAGTCAGAACAGTCACAAGAAGAACTGGCATGACTTGACTCCTCCCTGAAGGTCATGTAAAGACTGACCCAGGGGGGTGTGGGCTTTTATACTTAATCAACTGTAACACTACTTTTCCAAGGAGGTGACGCAAAGCCTCTCGTCATGATCCTCCATCTCCCTGGTACTGACCATTCTAATAAATTGCGGGCTGACAGCACAGAGGGAGGTGGGACACCGGGAAGAGGGCTCTATCCTGCTGCCGGAAGCTGTATGTTCAAAAAGTCAGATGTGGTCAAAGCAGACAAAGGACTTAGGGGGGGGCGAGAAAACGTCGAGAGATGAGCCTGTCAGAATGAGAAGTGAAATTAGACAAGAGGAACTGCATGTTGCAGAGTTTTAGATTTCCAGTGAAATTCCTCTAACAGAGCAACAGAAATGCAGGGATTCTGCCCACCCGTTCAATCTCATCAACCAGCACTTACAGTCTCAATAATTCACTCCAAGACATTAGCCGTATAAAGAATAAGAACATTTCATTTCATGACAATTGAACAGATCAGACAACAAACTGACAAAACACGGTTGGCTGTTTTAAGCAACCGGCCTCCGTAGACTAACTCCAACAGACTCGGAAGGGGGGAGGGAAGGCAGAGAAGAGAGTCAGGGATCCCTTGGAATCCAGAGGCAGGAGGGAGCCACTGACGAGCTGGATCGATGGGCCGGCATCCCAGAAGGGCCCCTCCCAGCAAACACCTCCAGGCAGCTTCCAAAGTCGTATAAACTCCGGCACCGGGGTTGGGAGAGAAAAGGCTTAATCACACAGGTGGGGAGCCTCAAAAAGAAAAGGCATTCAGCCCTTGGGGGTCCCAGGGTAGCCCCGTTCTTCTGCTTCTCTCAGCAAGCCACTCGCCGCACCTTGGCAAACCAGAATCTTTCTCTCTATCATCACACAAACAATCTGATCTCTCTGGGGGGGTCTCAAATTAGGACCTCCCAATCACGGCTTCTCCCTGCGGCCTCCAGCACCTGGTCTTTAAAGGTAGAGTGGTTCCGATGCAAGAGGTTCCATCTAGGCAGGGCAAAAATGTAGCAAATATATAATTAATAAAGGCAGGGCTCATTATTTACAGGATTAATTGGTCCCCCCTGCTGGATCCATTCAGTCATCTAAAGACATCCCATAAATATGATAAGGAGTCTGGTGTCTTTAAAGTTTCTCTCCCTCTCCATGATAAAATATAACTTGGATGGCTCTTGAGGAATCTGTGGCTGGATGCATGGTTAGTTGTAGCAAAATTTCTGGTTCTAAGATTGGTGTGTGCGTTTGCACGTGTGTTGCGCTGCCCTAGAAAAATGCCCTTGGTACGGTTCATGAAACCCAGAAAGATAGACAGAAAGTGGCCGTTTATCATTGGAACAAATGGCAGGAGGCCACCTGCAAGATGACTATTAATTTTATTCAAGATTAAGCATTGTCTAGATAGTAATTTATTCAGTTTAGTGGTTGACTCTGTTTCCACACAATATTTTCGGGGGAAGTCAGACGTGTGGGTCCCTTACAGAAAAACCAACAAAGCATCTATTAATAAGTTTTGTATATCACAAGTGTTCTTGGAATGAGCAGTCCATGAAAGATGATTCTAAATAAAATATTTTAGCCTTTAAGGTGGTACAGGGCTCTGGGCTGCTAACTATTTCACTGTAATTACTTAAAACTCCAGAAATCTGATCTGAGCTTATAAAAAAAAAAAAAGTTTTAATTCCCAGACATCGATCTGACCCTCCTCTGTTTTCATGGTCTCAAGACTTTGATGGAGTTTGGCAACCAACCAGCCAACCAACTCATCAACCAAAATCTTCGAAAATGCAACTTTGGAAGCAGAAAAAAATCAGGCAAAGGTCTAGCAGAAATATTTTGCTGGAGGAATTAGATTTCCCTGCAATACTTTAAAATCCATTAATTTGTCTATTAAAAGGAGCTGGCTGTAAGTAGGGTGCAAGTTTCCATCTCTAAAACTCAAGAGTCAAGGCCAGGTAAGGTCTGGCACGAAATATTCCCACCTGGTCACTTACTCTGCTGGTTGGCAGAATTGAGGAGATGCTGGATGCCAGCAGCCACTACAAAGCCCACCAGTGGAGAGCTGGGGTTGCACCTTGACGCTCGGTGGGAAGGGGAGAGCCTTAGGACCATCAACTCCGTGCGAAGGTGTTTCCATGTGTATTGAATGGCCAGGAGTAGAGGGTACAAGAGGAAGAAAGATATCTGGGTGCATTTGTATTGAGCCATTTGGATCCAGACACCCATGTTTGACATCATTATGTATTCCAAAAAAAGGCATCCTAGCAGACGCTCAGGTCTGACCAACCATGCTTGCTAAAAAAATCCTGTGTTTCTCTCCCCATGAGCAATCACAAAACAAAGCAAGCTGGTTCGCATCCTACTGGAAGTGAGCAATTTCCCTGACAATCAGACATGTTGACCACTTAAGGAATTCTAAGCAAGTTCTCTCTGTAATCGAGAGTGTGGCCTATATGCATCAGCCCGTGAGTCTCCAGAATATGGAAAATGCCCCCCCCAAGAAGAGAAACACCTGCTACCTCAAATGCTTGCCCTAATTTAATCCACCCTTGGCCAACCTCCAGAGCAAAGGGGTTGTACCTCAAATGCCTGCCCTAATTTAATCCACCCTATTGTGTCTAAGCCTTGGCCAACCTCCAGAGCAAAGGGGTTGATGCCTCCAGACCTCTTTAGATCTGGGCAGCCTCTTGAGGTTACCTGAGGCTTGGGGTCATCCTCCTCCTTGTAGTAGGACAGGCACTGCCCTTTCAAGACGAAGTACCTCTGCTGCCAGTTCTTGACGATGGAGCGCTGCTTCTTCAGCCAACCAGCCTTCAAGGGACGCTCCTGCAGGCTGGGAGGGTGGTGGGCCCAGTTCCCAGACCCTTTGGGATCGACTGCCATCATACTCTGGGAGCGAACTGGGGAGAGAAGCAAAGCTCAGCAAAAGGAGGAGATTCTCTGGAGCAGTGCAGTGGCCACTCAGCGGAAGCCTTGGGTTCCAAAGTCCCTCAAGGCTACCCAGAAAGGGAGAGGAAAACCCACCATTGCCTCTCTGGAGTGGAGCGAAAATGGGGCTTTCAAGGCGAGACGGGATTTCAGGGGACCGGGGACCGGACCCCACCCCCTTGTGGTAAACAGCTTTTTCGAAAGGAAGCCAGCACAGCGATCTGTTCAAATGGACTTCCTTTTTCCTGCGTAGGCGTCTTTCTTTGCAAACGACAAAAAAGAAACTACAATGGGTCCCAAGAGGGGATTGCCTCTGCTTGCTGCCAAGCTTCTTGTGAAATGGCGTGGGCTGGGTGGGGGTGCGTGCACGGAGGCTTTGGCCAAGTCTGATAAAAGTTGGACAAAAATTTTTTTAAAGCCAGCCACAAGGGTAAGTTGGCTTGACCCGGTGAAAATGCACGACTTTTTTGAACCCCATTTTGTGGGGCTTGTCTGTTTGGCCAAGGAGCCTACAAGGGCTGTTGATTAGGGGCACTCAAGCCCCCCCCCCCCCCCAGAGTAGAACACCCCATAAATTAAAAA